TTTACTGTTAAAGCTGATGCTTTTGTCTGTTTTGGTGTATCATTGACATGATCCCTTAGGACTCTCATTTCCTCTGATGAGGATTTGATGATAGACTTTTAGGTTGAAACCTATGCATGACAACATCTAGGAGTTCCCTGTTCAAACTTCAACCATAGGATGAATCCATGGCATGATAACAGTAGGACTTGATAGTCTCCCTCCTAGTTGGGCCTGTTCTCTTCTCATCTCAAAGCAGTTTAAGATACAGTAATCATGAATGATTTCTTTCGTACGTTACGAGCCTTAAGCTATCTGAGAAAGGATTGTGGGAGAGTTTCTTTTCCATAGTCTGGATGTTAGTATGGTACCCTTTGGGTGACATGCGACGCATTCACTCTCCGGTCATAGTCTCTAGTGCGGTTGAAATCGCAAACACAATAAAAAACACTTCTTTTAGGAGATAACCCGTAGTTTCCCGAACTACGTTTGCTCTGATCTTTCATACTGTGTGGAAGTACGTAGGCATAGGATGAGACGTCCTAGCGAGCAACCTTCAACCTTTCCCCCATAACCCTTCGTAGGCCGAACTACGTTGACTCTGATTTCTCATTCTCTGATGAGAATACGTAGGCATAAAGCGCGATGCTTTGCCGAGTCATTTTTCTTTTCTTTTTCAGCCAGCCTTGATAGGTAGATAGATTATAACCAACCCGTCCAAGTAAACAAACAAGCGAGGATCCCGTCGAGTACGACGGACGTGAGGGGTGCTAATACCTTCCCCTTGCGTAACCGACTCCCGAACCCAGACAATGGTTGCGATGACCTTGTCTTACCCTTTTTCGTCAGGTTTTTCCGATCGTTTCCTTTCCCGCTCTAAGGGATAAATAACGAAAGGTGGCGACTCTTCTGTCATGCCGGCACCTTATTTTCGCGCAAGCGACACCCGCTTCTTGATGTTTGGGGCTCTGCTCAACCCCTGAAAGTCTTTTTTCTGAACGCTATGATCATGAGAGTGCTGAATGTAGCCTGAATGCTGCTTCTGTACCTGCAAAATAAAAGTGGGAAAAGGTCGCCCGAACCCCAGGGCAAAATAAATGTCGGGGTCTCTGACACTCGTCGTTCATTGTTGTGCCCCTAAGATGGAACTTGAGTCACGGACGTGTCTTGATCCCCTGTCAAAATAAATGCTATGCAATGCAGATGCTAGAACAATGTAATGAAACGTAAACCAGATAAAGAAAAGGTTGGTCAAATTTTGGGGTACAACAGCTGCCCCTATTCAAGCGACTTGGACTTGAATGAGTGAAAAGCGAACGGCTTTCAAACAATCGAGGTAAAAGGCGGTTGAATACCGAAGAAACCGGAAATTTGCCAACCGCGGGGAATAAAGTTGCGGCAACAATCCGAAGGTAACTGTACTGGTCTCAAAAATACTCCGCTGGGGAAATACGAAACAGCGTCAAGGATAGCGCTATGGTCTGGATACCGCTTTGGCGAGAAGTGACATTCTATGCCGGAGTCTGGATACTCAAAGGAAATGAACCGGAGCCTGGATGCTCAGAGGAATAAACTGGAGCCCAGATGCTAAAGGGAACTCTGAGCCTGGACGCTCGATGTGACCGGATCCTGGATACTCGATAATAAGTCTGAGTCTGAATACTTGGTGATAACTCTGAGTTTGGATACTCGATAATCGGAACCTGGATGCTCGGTAACCGCCTGAGTCCAGATACTCAGTAATTGGAGCCTGGACGCTCGGTAACCGCCTGAGTCCGGATACTCAGTAATTGGAGCCTGGACGCTTGAAGCAATTCAAAGCTGGGATGCTTGACGCAAATCTGAGCCTGGACGCTTGGTAATTGGAGCATGGACGCTCAGTAATCGGAGCCTGGACGCTCAAAATAAATCGGAGCCTGGACGCTCTATGTAGATGATCTGAGTTTGGATACTCGGTAAACGGAGCCTGAACGCTCGATGCGCTTCGGAGTCTGGACGCTCTATAAAACGGAGTCTGAATACTCGGTGCTGAACTGAATCTGGATATTCAGTGGTCGGAGCCTAGATGCTCAATGCAAACCTGAGTCTGGACACTCGGTGGCAAATTTGAGCCTGGATACTCAATAATCGGAGCCTGGATGCTCGAAATGATCGAAGAAATATTCATCAGGATCTGGATATCCTGCAAGCTCAAGTCGGACGACGTCACTAGGAAATGGTATGCGCTGTGATCTGGATACCACGCGAGCTGAGAGAAATCATTAAGTGCCACGGTCTGGATACCACATGGTGACTGAAGATAATAACAATTACCGTGATCTGGATATCATGGAGCATCGGATGAACTAACATGGCCTGGATACCCTATCTGCCTTTGCTAGAGTCTGGGTACTCAACGAAACGAGCGTGCGCCATGGTCTAGATACCTTAGGGCACAAGGGCACAAATATACCTACTGTGATCTGGACATCACTAGGAAACTCAATCGGAGTCCGCATACTCGATGGACGAAGCAATTCGGTAACCATCATGGTCTAGATACCATTCGGACAAAGATGACCAACTGTCGGGGAAAATAATAAGCCGAGTCTGGATACCACACGGGCTGACGGAAACATATCACATTGTCATGACCTGGACATCACATGGTGCTAAAGGAGAAATCATCAGCCGATGTTCAATGACGCTGCCTGGGAGAAACGTAAGCCAGGTCTGGATACCATGCGGGCTAACGAGATATCTTATGGTCTGGATACCATTCTTCAACTTGCTACGGTCTGGACACCATACGAGCACAAATATCAATCAACCATCTATTGGAGACATTCCTGCAAGCAAAGAGGTAACAACCTGGTCCATGTTTCACATGCAAATGGTTTTTTAAAAAAAATGGCGTGATGCTCCACACAAGGTGGAAATGCTACGCGTTTTTAGGTAGATGATATGCACAATGCAAAATGCAAGGGAACCAATCCAGCAAAATAAATGCTGGAGAGAAGAAAGCCAACTCCACCGGGGATCCAATCAAAACCCTGCTGAGGAAAAAGCCCTGGATGGCACACCAGAATACGGATCTTCTGGGAAATAAACGTCTCAGCTGGAGGAAACATGTCCACTCTACTGGGGAATTAACAACTCTGCAGGGGATAACCATCAACCACTGAAATTGAATCTCGCTTCATTGAGGGAACAGCCCTGAAAAACTCACCAAACTTCCCCGAAAGTGACGACTTGCTGGGGACAAAGTAAAAATCCAACCTGCCGGAGATGCTCAGCTGGGGAATAATCTACCTCTGCTATAGATTACTCAGTGAGGGAATCAGTATCGACCTCTACTTGGGGGTTAAATTCATCCATACCCACCTTCAATTAGGGAATGAGTCAATGACCTAGAATCGGAGGGTAAATGAGCCAAATATTTGGACTCTGTGGGAATACAACATTGCACTCGTCCCACTGTTGGGGAAACAAACCCAAATCTGCTTGTCAGGGAAAACTTCAATCTCGTCCCACTAGGAATACACAACCAAATTGTCGGGGATGGCTACACTCTGCCGAGGATATCAATCTCGACCTACTGAGGATAATCTTGACCCTACTCTGATAAGGATAAGTGCCATCTCAACTTGCTGCAATCTCAAACTACTGAGGAGAACCAATCTTAACTGCACATCTCTACTGAAGAAATCTTCCTGATTTAACAACATCACCCCTAAGGGAATACAGAAGACCAATCATGGAGAACTGAGATCATCTGAGCCTCGTGTCGGGGAACATGACAGCACATGTGAACTACTGGGAATTATCGTGCCAAGATATTTAAGCTTTTTCTGGTTTTAGGGATGGGAATAGGTTTATGGTGATAGGGATTTATGTCTGGTTATCAACAAAATGGATTTGAGGGGGAAATACTAGACGAGAAATAGCATTCAAGGGTAGACTACCAGACGAGAACTGGTGGTAAAGGTGAAGTTGTCAGATGAGAAGTGACTTTTGGTTTTTGGTATCAGTCGGGAACTGATTTCTGGTTTGCCTGACGAGAACTGGATTTTAAAACTGCGTTAGCCAGACGAGAACTGGTCAAACAGTAGGTTAAAGGAAGGGTGACCAAACGGGAACTGGTTTAAAAGCTGACATGCACCAGACGAGAACTGGTGTTTAAGGACGGGTGGACCAGACGAGAACTGGTTATCGGTTTGCCAGGCGAGAACTGGGCTTTTGAGGTTTGCCTGACGAGAACTGGGCTTTGGAGGTTTTCCAGACAAGAACCGGGCTTTGGAAATGACTTTGGTTACACGGTATGTAACAAGTTTAGGCTGTAGGATAACGATCCAACGACAGCAAGGCTTTTTTTTGGAAGGTTAAGGTTATTTGATGAGGGTAATGACACGATTCCCTTACACTCAACTCTTGCTGGGGACATCAAACTTGCTTGAACAACTTGCCCTAGTAAATTTAACTTTCCCCAGTCCGACTCTTTGGGGAAATTCAGAAAGTAGCTTGCCATGAGACGATCTCGAGATGGCTTGCCCCAGAATCTATACAACAAAAGGATTCATCCTCAACTCACCAACTCTCAGCATGGTTGGTTTCAATATACTCTTGAAATGACTTGCCCCTGAATGAGCGTTGAAGCGACTTAACCTGATCTGATTGAATACCTGAGGGATCTGCCCTCAACTTGCAGAAACTCTGGGTAGTTGCCCCTGATTGGGTCTTGAGATGATTCACTGCTGATCAACTGCTTCTTGAATAAATTGTCCTATAATCAACCGATGCTTCAGAACTTGTCCTATAATAAACTTTCCTATGATGGAGGGATTCTTGTATATGTATGTGTATATACTATTATTGTTTGAATTTTTCCTTATCCTTAAAAAATGTTATTATAATTATTGGAGTATTATTTGTTTCAAAGAGATCATTATATTATTTGTTTATGCTATGGAAATGAGACTTTTGTGTTTTGCTATTGGCACTATAAATATAAGACATAAGTTTCACCAATTTTTCAAAGAAACATGGCTTTAAAGATTGGTACTATCCTTCTATTCTTCCTCTGTGGTAAATTTTGAACCCTCTTCCTTTCAACATAAAATTATTGTATACTATATCTAATTTTTGTGTTTATGATTCAGGTGCAACTCTTTTGGGAGACAATCTGAAAATTGTTGATGCTCAAATATGTCCCCAATTTTGCTATGATGATCGTTCATACATGACTTGTCCTTCTTCAGGAAATCAACATCTCACTCCAGTATGCAACTGTTTTCTTGCAACAACTGGATGTACAATTTACAGAGACGACGAAACTCCTATTTGTACTGCTGGTTGAAATATGGTTGTCATGTGAATGTTTATTCACATACACTAAGATGTACTCTTCTAAATTTCAATAAATATGTTGTAATGTGTGTGATAGAAAATTATAATAAGTTGTAATATGAAAAGTACAATACATAAGGTTAATTTTCATGTTTTGTGTATTATTACTATTAATTACTCAAACATCAAATAAATAAATTTGGAATTTTCTTTGTTACACTCTCGAATTTTTTACGCATAAAATAACGTGTGTTTAATAGTAGTTTTTTCGTTTTAGTAAATGAAAGTCCTACTAAAGATTTCATGATGGATAAAGGTTTAAAGTAATGGCTGGGAGAGGAGCCGTTGTATTGTGTTTTTCCGATTATTTTTGCTCTGTCTAGAAAAAAAAGGTGCAACATGAAATATATGGTTTTTTTACGAAGAATATTGGTTATGGAATTTACATATTGATTAAGAGATCTTGGCGGATGATGCAAGGAAGGAATTCTAGGATCTGCATAATCTATTGTTGTCTGTTTCTCTACAGAAATTAGGTGATGGCAGGTTTGTTTGGAAATGGAACAACAATGGCTTCTACTCTGTCCAAACTAGTGATCTTGAGTTTGTGCCTTAAAGTCTTAAATGCTCCAATGCCAAGTAGTTTGGTAAGCGTGTCAGCCAGCTGAACAGATGCAGGAACATGATGCACACGTAGTTGTTTGGCCACAACTCGTTCACGCACAAAATGTATGTCAAGCTCAATATGCTTGGTGCGAGTATGCAGGATGGGATTATGAGATAGCATAACCGCACTCAAATTATCACACATCAGAATAGAGGTATGATATATTACTTTGAGCTCAAACAACAATGATTCAAGCCATAGTAGTTCAAAGGTTGTGTGAGCGAGAGCACGATATTCCGCCTCTGTGCTGGAGCAAGCAACCAAGGCTTGCTTCTTAGAGCTCCATGAGACAAGATTGGGTCCAAAAAATATACATGAGCCAGAGGTGGACCGCCTATCGTCCGGATCACTGGCCCAGTCAGAGTCACTATATGCATGGAGGGACAATTTGGAAGCTGTAGCGGACGGAGACAGATGTAAGCCATATGAGACAGTGCCACTTAGATACCGAAGAATTCGTCTAACTGCAGACCAATGATTGTCTAGGGGATCATACATGAATTGACAAGCCTTATTCACACTGTAGGCAATGTCTGGTCTAGTTAAAGTTACATACTGCAATACACCCACAATGGATCTATAGAAGGAAGGATCAACCAACTTTGAAGCTCCATGTTTGCTGAGTTTGCAGCTGGTCATCATAGGGGTTGGAACTCCATTGGCATTGACCATGTTTACTCGAGACAGAAGATCTCTAATGTACTTCGACTGTGTCAAAAGCATTGAGCCATTTGATTGGAAGTTAACCTCAATGCCAAGAAAGTACTTTGGTCTGCCTAGCTTTTTCAACACAAATGCAGTGTGAAGTTGATGAATTAAGGTATGAATGAGAGTATGATCCGAACCTGTAATCAGTATGTCATCCACATAAACAAGTGCATACAGAACAGTACCTTGAGTGCAGTAGAGAAACAAAAAGCTATCACATTAGGATGTGGTAAACCCAAAGTGTATTAGGGCTTGTGCCAGCTTTTCATACTAGGCTTGTGGGGCCTGCTTGAGGCCATAGATAGCTTTGTGTAACTTGCATACAAGTGTCTTGTCAGATGTGGCAAAACCTGGAGGTTGGGTCATGTAGACTTCATCAGTTAAAGTTCCATTGAGAAAGGCATTGTTGACAACAATTTGTTGGATGTCCCATTTGTGTGTGAGTACCAAGGTAAGAATGACTCCGATAGTGGTGGGCTTAACAACAGGGGAGAATGTTTCAGTGTAGTCAAAATCGTGTTCGTGATGATATCCCTTGGCTACAAGTCTAGCTTTGTGCTTATTAATAGAGCCATCAACATTTTCTTTGATTTTGAATACCCATCGACAGCCCACACCTTTCCTCTCAGGTGGCAGTGTTGTGAGAGTCCATGTGTGATTGGCCTGTAAGGCATCAAATTCAGACTGCATAGCAGTGTGCCAGGTAGGGTGAGAGAGAGCTTGTTTGATAGTGGTGGGTTCAGATTCAGTATGTGCCATTAGTGCCTTAGGTTTGGATCTCCCAGTCTTGGCTCGGGTCATCATAGGATGATCATTAACCAAGAGTGAAGGGTGACGTCTGTGGCTGGGAATAGATGGGGAGTGAGAGGACTCAAATGTGGAAATAGAAAACATTGAGTGTGAAGGGGTTCACAGGGGAGTAGAGCTATGAGTATTTGCAGTAGTGGATAGAGGTGATGCATTACCCTTTGGACAAGCAAGAGCCTCAGTCTCTGAGCTGGAAAAATTGTCATTAGAGTCTATGGACTTGTGAGTAGCATTGTCAAGATATGTAAAGGGGCCTGCTTCAGAAATATGATGTGTGATGTCTTTTAAAGCGGTAATAGGATTGAGAGCACTTGATAAGTCCCCTTGAGTGGCCTGTGGGGCATTAGGTGTCATATGAGTTGCAGAAGTTCCAAGAGGAGATGGATTACTGTTGGCAGGGTCTAGGGCCAGATTAGGATGTTCAAACATAGGTACTGTCAAAGGGTTTAAGTGCCTAGAAAGGTGTTGAGTTGTTGCAAGTTCCATGCTTTGATCTGATGGGATAGAGTCTATAGGTGTGATAGCTGGGGCCTGAGGTGATGCACTTGTTGTCTTGGTTGGCAATTTTGATGGAAAGGCTAGAGGCTTACCTATGGAAGCTAGACCTGCTGTAGTACTTGACTGAAATAACTGAGGAAAGGGAAAGTGTTCTTCATTGAAAGTAACATCCTTAGAGATGTAAACTTTTCCAGAACTACTCATACATTTGAACCCTCTGTGTTGAGGAGAGACTCCAAGATATACACACTCCTGGCTTCTGAGCTGAAGTTTGTGTTGATTATATGGTATGAGCAAAGGATAACAGGCACAACCAAACACTCTAATGGTTTTGTAGTCAGGATGCTTATCATACAGGGCATGGAAAGGTGAGTGATGTGTAGTCAGTGGAGATGTTGGCAACCTGTTCATTAGATAGACAGTAGTAGCAAAGATATGATCCCAGTATGTTAGAGGAATAGATGAGTGAGCAAGTAGAGTTAAGCCCATCTCAATAATGGTTATGTGTTTCCTCTCAACTAAACCATTTTGATGTGAGGTATGAGGGCAAGTCAATATATATATAATACCAAGATCAACAGAAACTTAGTAAATGGCCTGAATTCACCACCAAAGTCAGATTGAACTGACTTAATTGTGAGACCAAACTGAGTTTGAACAAACTTGTGAAACAATTTAAATGCACCTAGAGCCTCAGACATTTGTTTAAGAAAATATAACCATGTATATCTGGTGTGAGCATCAACAAAGGCAATGTAATATCTAAACCCAGAGCTAGAGGGAGAGGTGTTGCACCCTAAATTTTGACCCCTTAGATCCTCATCATCATTTTAGGGTCATATTCGTTTGATTATCTGACCATAACCTATTTCAAGTTGTCTTTGTCAAGATACATGCGAATTAGGGTTCCGCACCGTCAAAAATCGAGACTTCGACAGTATGATCAATCAATGTTTTGGATTGATTCTCCATAAAACAAAGTCAAAGATATCACATTGGGTCATATTTTAATCCAATCGGAGGTTGTCACCCCCATATCAAGCACGGTGCAGTTCAGGGTACCCGATTAGGGTTTTCGAGCAGGAAAAGTCAACCGTAGTTTGACTTTGGATTTAAAGGAAGGTTCAATGATGCAACTTTGGTCCAACACGTTTATAAGGCTTAGTGAAGTCCCCTCAAAGAGTTTCAAGGTCTTGGAAGTCCCGAAACAAGAACAGACGGTCCGATAGTCATCGATCGATCGTACGGTTGACCGAAAGGTCAACTCTTCAATCTTAAGGAATTGGACTTCATGATGTGAATCAAAAATATTCCTTATGTCATATTACACCTCCCCATAAAATTTCATGGCCATTGGATCAAGGGTTAGGAAGTAATTGCAAATATCGGGAATTAGGGTTTCAAAAGGGGCAAAGCCATAACTCCTTAACCACACAAGGGTTTTTGACCTAGTTTCAAGGGGAATGAGTTCCTAACACAAGCATAAATATTTTAGTACCTAATTGGGGCTTTCTAAAAAGTACAAGTGGGTTCCATAACTCTTCCTGGTTAGAGAGAACCGAGGTCCACAAGTTGGCAAAAACTCACATTGGCAAAACCAGGTCAACATGAGTTTTTTTTATTCCAAAACCTCTCCAAATTGATGCTAATCAAATACTAAGCCTCATTTATGATGTTTACATTGTTAATAAACATGTTTAACATCAATTCCCACGAAAATGGACCAAAGATCAAAGGAAATCATTATTTAATGCAAGTTGTAAAAGTGAATAGTGAAGAAAGAGAAAAAAGGTGGCTACCCTTGTCAAATCATCAACTTTAATTCAACAAGTCACCTTCTATCCTATCAAGCATGATGGAAAAAATCTATGGGGCATGGAGAATATCTTATTAGAGTGTCTTAAAGACAAAGATGAAGATTGCATTGGAAAACTCAAAGATTTTCATGATGGAAGGTTAAAATTGGCAATTTGCTTCACTTTTGCCCATACCTTGATCCAATGTCTTTGGATATAAATAGAACTCACTTCCTACATCACAAATACACAAGTTCCATGCTAGAAACCAGCTAGAACTTTCTTCCTTACACAATCACACGTTCTTACAAAATCTCATTAAGTTTCCAAAATCCCTTAAAATTTGCTTTTGAAAAACACCTTTCAAAACCATTTCCAAACTTCTTCCAACTCAAGAAACACTTCAAACACATAAAGTATGATGTATTGAAGCTATCCAAGTCACTTCCAGACTTATGTAACAAGATCTTGGAAGATCTCTCAAGATCTCTGGTTTTCTTATTGCTTAAGCTTGCTTCAAGAGGTAAACCTAAA